AAAGTAAAACTTTTTTTTTTAATTTTAAGGAAATGTAAGGTCTAGGAAAGACAATTTCAAATAATTTCCTGCCCTTTATCTATAGTTGTACCCACATGACACTACTGTGTGCCCTCACATTTGATGAATAGATCTGCACTGCACTCTTGTGGAAGAGTCAGCGCTGTGATATTTATGGGTCAATGGACTGATATCAGAGTCATAAAATGGGCTTGTTGTACCCTCCCCCCAGACATGTGGCATCATAATTAGGATATATCTGAAACAGGTTGCAAGGTTTGGGGGAAAATAAGAAATACAAATGTAGAGATTTTTTAAGACCAGCCCAAGTCCAGATCAACCAACAGCCAGTAATTTTGTAGCTCATGAACCTGTACATATCATGTAAATAAGCCCATCTCACTGACAATAACTGAAAACAAACACAAGAGCAATGGACACTCAGTATCCTACTGAGTTTTGTGGCTGGTTGTTGCAGTAGTAAGTACTATGGGGGTTTCAAGTGTGGCTTATTCTTCCCTTTCTGTTCCCTTAGTAACCCTGAAAATATTTTAAAGGAATCATCATTAACTAAGAAAGCACAATGTGAAAATCACTAGCCTAGACTAAACTGACGTATATCACCAAAAGTTAAGTCATTTTTATTTTATTCCTGGCAAAAATGGAGCAAAAAAGATTTAACATCAAGTTTTGACTGAATAAGATATTGACACCCATTTTCTAAGAAGTTTTAGTATTTTGAATATCATAATGCCTATGTTTCATACCTAAGTCAAGTAAAGAAGAGGACACTAATGAATCTCTCAATTCTCATTAATGAATATCTCTCATGCAAAAGAGAGCCAGGAACCAAAAGGTCCCAAATGGCCAAAACATAGAGATTGTCTACAGAATGCTGGTCCTTGGACAGGACTCCTATATTAAACTTCACCCACCCAGGGCTCAGGGGCCATCGTGGAAGATAGGGTGGAAAGATTGTAAGAGCCAGGGAGGAGGTGCATGACCGTATCTAAACAGAGTCCTACAAGCTCCTGGGACCTTGCTCATATGATTCTATGGCAATGATGTCAGCAAACACAAGTCCCATGTAAACTCAGGCAGATTAATAATCCAGCATATACCTGGGAAAATGAACAGCAGACTCCAATCTTATCTGAAGAAATATTGGCAACTGATTGCTGCTAAATGAGGAAGAACTGATCTTCCTAAAACAAGAGAATCTACATAGGCTGGTTAGATCTCAGTGGATGGACTTGCACTGGGGAATGTCTGGACACTAACTTGACACAGTGGGTCTTAACATGGATGACAGAGTATATGGGTTCCAGTGGGGGGGCATGCTATTGTAGGGTTCCAGTGGAGATGGGGGTATAAAGATGATTAAGACTGTTTGAGATATTCTGTATGATAGTACCAAAAGTTAATAAAAACAAATTAAAAAATATGAGTAAGGGTTTATATTCTTTTAAAAATATTTTATTTATTACTTTTATTTTATGTGTATGAGTGTTTTGCCCACATGTATGTGAGTGCACCTATATCATGCAATGCCACGGAGGTCAGAAAAGGGCTTTGGATTCCCCTGGAACTGAAGTTAAGTATGGTTTGTAGCCACCATGTGGGTGCTGGGAATCAAACCTGGGTCCTCTTCAAGAGCAGTCAGTCCTCTTAACTGCTGAGCCATCTCTCCAGGCCGGGGTTTATATTCTTACTATTTAATCCCATTAGCAATCTTGGTTTCAGTTCTATTAATTATGTCTGGACTACAGCATTAGCATTGTGATTCACTCAGCCAATTAACAGACAGGCAAATGTTTGAATCTATTGCTAGTTTTTCTCCCTGTTGTCCTCTCTCACTTCCTTGCTCTGATCTGTCCTTCCTGTCTCTTCTCTCTCCTTCTGTCCTTCCTTCCTTCCTTCTTCCTTCCTTCTTCCCTCCTTCCCTTCCTCCTTCTTGTTCCCTTCCTTCCTTCCTTCCTCTCTCTCCCTTTCTTTCTTTCCTTCCTTTTTCCTTCTTTTCCTTTCTATTAGCATATATGAATGATACATAATAATGAGTTTCATTACAGTATTTTCATATGCATATATAATATAATTTGATAATAGTTACCACCAAACACTTTCTTGTTCCCCTTACTATTTCCTTTCCTCTTCCCAACCAAACCCCTTCTATTATCTTCAATTTTTTTCTTTCCTTCTTTTCTTTTATCTTCTTTCCATCCTTCTCTTCCTTCTTTTCCTTCTTTCTTCCTTTCTGTCACCTACTTATTTTAATTAAAGTTGCTTATTTAGAGGAACATTTGCACCTTTCCAATGCCTATAAAGTATAAAGACACACACACACACACACATGAAAATTTTTATGATTAAATTTTTTGTCTGTTAGATATAAAAAAGATTTGTTTGCAAGATAAAATTACTGAATTCCAGCATATGGGATAAACAGAAAAGTCAAGAATGATCAATAAGTAGATGAAGGGATCTAGTTGGAAAGTAATAAAGAGAGCTAGATGGGAACAGAAGTAGTCATCAGAAAATAATGTAATATTGACATGATGAGTTATATAAAAAGATTGCATTAGTTCCTTTAACAATTGTCATTGGAGTGTTATCATATTGCCTTTTGGCTTGGCAGTGTCCTTTTGTTATAGTGGAGGAAGGAGAGACATGAAAATGCACATTTTTTTATTCCTTTTATTGAATCCCACTGATACTATCACAATAACTGCACCAATGTACTAGAGAGATTTGAGAAACATGTAGAGTCAACTTAGTTTGTATCATCTAAGGCCATTCTAGATAACTGCATTTCCTGTGATATACCAGCTAATTGCAGATACATGTAAAATCCATTTGAGATAAGTGGAGCATGGTTCCCATGTGCTTCATTGACCATAGACTATTTAGTATTTACTTTATATCACTGAATCTTGGAATGGCTTTTAACATAGCAATACATAACTGAAAATTCTTTGATTGATTTTACAATTGGATTTTCAGCCTAGAGCTAGGAAAAGAAAGTCTTGATTTTTAGATAAGACTATTGGTCAGTATGCAAATATGCAACCTTATTTGGTGTTATCATGCATTTACACTTTGAAAATTTGTTTTGTCTTTTGATTGGTTGTTGTACATGCCTTCTGAAGTCTGTGTGCAAACTAGATTTCAGGATCCTTTGTGAATGCATGATTAAGCAGCAGGAGAAGATGAGTTTACAAAGTGTTTAAAAGATAATAGACATCAGAACTATTAGAAAATAGTAATAGTAATAATAATAATTATAATAATAAAGGAATGGCAACAAAATAGTATATATTGAAATGAATGAGAAAGAATGCTAAAAGAAAGTGGTCTAGATCACTGCTAAACATACAGATAAAATTTTGGCTTGTGCATGCACTGGGGTTAGATTGAACATCACACAAGTCATTAATGACCTTGAACAGAACAACTTATAGTTATAAAATGATGGAGCTGTGTCGATTAGGGTTCCTGAGAAAATCATTTCTTTCTCTTTCTTTCTTTCTTTCTTTCTTTCTTTTTCTTTCTTTCTTTCTTTCTTTCTTTCTTTCTCTCTCTCTTTTTCTCTCTCTTTCTTTCTCCCTCCCTCCCTCCCTTCCTTCCCTCCCTCCCTCTTTCTTTCTTTCTTTCTTTCTTTCTTTCTCTCTTTCTTTCTTCAACACAGCCTCTCCTTTTAGCCCCAGCTGACCTGTAACTAAAATATTTGCTTCTGAGTGGTCTGAAATAATTAGAAATTTGTCTCCTGTGATCAGTTAGATGTTCTAAATGTGAATTAATTAGAAAATAGTGAACTGATTTGTGAAAAAAGAAAAAAAATTTAATATGCATGTCAGTATTTAGTGATGCAACGTGCAAGTAAGCTTTGCCAGATCAACCACGTTAAAAAAAGTCTCACGTTCAGAATTCATCCATATTCTCTCAACTCTAACCTGATTACAAGGGGATTTTGTTGTGAAGAATAATGAATGTACCATAGTTTAATAGCACTATGACAAATTTGAGTTAAGTAGCTCTCTGTTTTTACAGAAGACAATAACAATATTGTATATTCAACAATTATTCCCTCTAACCTTCACTTCTTTTTCTTTAATTTTTTTGACTTAGAGAGCACAGTGAGAACGAGTTTCCTTTCAAAAGTAGAAAGTCATGAGACTACACAGTCTTAAGAACAGTGATGTGAATGGCTTATTATATTCTTCTATGTTATACATCTTTTAAAAGTATTTTTTTTCCTTTGCATGACACAGGAGCACTTACACACATAGAGGCTATACAGAAATACACATAAAAAAATCAAAATCACATATCTGTATACCTATTTCCTTTCTGTTGACTTCACTTAAAATTTGAAAGCATGATTTATTAAACAAAGACTGTAAACAAATATTGTCATGTTTCTTACATGTAACGAATGGGAATAGCTTTTAACAGAAATTCATAAATCCCCCCAATTTTTTTTATAAATGCAGGTATCAAAACAATCCTGAAAATATTTTTGATACTACTAGCAGTCAGCACCCACACCATTAAAAAATTAATGTGATTTGTGACTATATTCATTGTTACTTTAAACAATTTCAATCTCAGCTCTCTAAGTATGATGGATAGAGCATGTTATTTCTGTTCTTCCTTATCAAGATTTTAGTTTTCAGAAACACGAAGGTTTCCACTGCCTCCTGACAAACGTTGCCATGATTCTGGCTTGTAACTTGAATTCAGTTTTGATTACTCCAGGTTTGTGTTTAAATGACAATGCCTTAACAAGAGAAAGAAAATCTGTGCTGTGCATTTCCTTCTGTTGTTACCTGAACACGTAATAGGTATACATATATTGATATATTCTTACAAATATCAGAGTCATCTTTACCAGTTAGAATTCTTTTAATTGATGTGTGGGTGTTTTGCCTTGTGATATTTAATCAAGACTTTAACATGAGTAGAAGGTTGCTGATTTAAGGCAAGTCTGAGATTCACTGAAATTAATTGCTGTCTGTCTGTCCTTCTAGTGGCTGTGGAAGCTCCATGTTTTCTTTGCACATCATTAGACATCTTAGATCTTGAGGCACAACTTTAATGCTATAGGATATTTTTTTCATTTCACTAAAACTTACATGATAAGCTCCATGCACCCACCATCCATTGGAATTATTTATCCACTCATTAATTATCTTTGTTACAAATCTTACTGATGGAGGAGCTTCTGGGTATTTAGATCCACATTCTACTTTCAGGCTATAGATACTGTTTTCATAGTTAGTTCTTGGTGATCTGATAATTATTCCTGTCCACCTTCTAAGTGTCATATCATCATCATCTTCAAGGCCCCAGCTAACTGTACCATCACCTACTCCTTTTTGTCCTTCAAGTTCTCCCAACACATGAAAATTATGGGGAAATTTAACTCCTGTGGAGACCACCATCTTATCCTTCAGCCCAATGTCCTAATAGAAGTTTTTATAGTATCTGATGAACTGTATTTATCCAGAGAAAATATTTACTGCATACTTTAAAATGGTTGAAATCAAATTTAAAGCCATAGGAAAAAAGTAACATTTTAAATGAAATGAATATTTTAAAATAATTTCATTATTTGAAACAGTCTTTGTGTAGGTTAATTTTGATGGTCAACTTAATTGAATTAAGACACACCTAGAAGACTTATAAAACATTCCTCTGGGAATATCTTTGAAGGTATTTCCAGGAATGATTAAGGGGGGAAAACACTATGAATGTGGATGGCATCAGCCCACCAACAGGGGGCATAATGGATAAAAAGAGAGGGACCACCATGAGGTGAGTTTCTCTCCTGTGAAAAATGCTTTTCCCTGAAACCTCAGACTGTGAGTCAAAATAAATATTCCCTTATATTACTTGTTTCAAGTATTATTCCATCACAGTGAAGTAAGGATTTTAAACAGCATTTTATACAGTTCATTGATTACTTACAAAGAAATACTTTACATGCTGCTTGTTGAAGATAAAAAGTACAGCGTTTCTAAGCCACAATATAGTGATCTTAGAAAAGAAACAGCCTGACACATCATTTATAAGGCCAAGAATGAACCCAAAACCCCAAATGCTAACACCTGTACTTTCATATATCTCTTGGTACTGTGCAAGGACTTCATTTATTCTTTATTGAAACAGCATCTCCAACATGAAGTTGTAACTAGAAGTCAGGACTCACTGTTATCTTATCAGAGACTCTTGCCTTTTGACACCTAGACCTAGAATATCACACAGAACAACAAACAGATTTCTCTCATTTTCTGCAATAAGGAAAGCACATTGCTTCTAGCACTTTTGATGGAGTATGTTTACTTTGATAAACAGCTGTTTAGGACAGAAGATGGCCCCCTAACCCCAGGGAACCAACCACCCCTCCCTCACAGGACTGATCACATGATTTACAGGAATACTAGTCCTGATCAGTAAAACAAAACTGTAAACCAAAACCTAAGCTGTCTGCCCATGTATGACCTGATCATTGTACTTTCTCCTGGATCATTTAAGAACCCTATATAAGCTTGCTGTTTTCTCAGTAAAGTAGATCTGAGTCACTGAACCTGGTCTCCTGTATCTGAATGCATCTCTGCTGACACAGCCTCCTCACCAGCCCTGGAGTCCTGAATTGGGCAGCTGGGGTGGCGACCGTAAAGGCAGCCCGAACCAACAGCTGCACTCTTTGATATGTAAAGCATGCATACACACATTATCACATTTATATGCTATCATACACTATCTTGTGATGGCGACCGTAAAGGCAGCCCGAACCAACAGCTGCACTCTTTGATATGTATAGCATGCATACACACATTATCACATTTATATGCTATCATACACTATCTTGTGTGGAGGGTAAGCAGAGTTCCTGAAGAAGTGAGGTCATATGCCCAGGTCACAAGAGGAGCCCACGTTTCAGTGAATTTTTGTGTTCAGATGTTCCTCTGTGTAAAGACTAACTTTTTCATTACAGGTTTAAATAAAAGTCTTTAATGCAGATCATGTCCATAGTGTAAAAGTCATTCCTACAAAAAAAGAAAAAAACTTTATAAAGTATGCTCCTTATAGGCTTAACTGTAGTAAATGATGGTCATATCCAAATACAAGCTAGTATATAACTTAAATGTTTTCTC